TGAGATAGGATGTCCAGTTATCACCGTAACTACACTCGTTCTGGTCACGCCATGAATCTGGTTTGTTTTTTTTTTATCCTCATCTGAAGACATTTTTGCATTTATCTTCAGATAGAGTGGAAGGGAGAGAGAGAGAAAGATCGACGAGAGAGAGAGAAACATTGAATGGTCGCCACCCACACAACCCCATCCGGGGCCGGGGAGAAACTGCAACCGAGGTACGTGCCCTTAGGAGGAACTGAACCCGGGACTCTCTGGTCCACGGGCTGACGCTCTAACCGCTGAGCCAAACCGGCCAGGGCAGAAATCTGGTTTTGATGGGAAAGAAGCTGTAGAATGGCTGGATGCTGAGCCAGAGCCTCCCTCCTGTCAGAACCTTCTTTGTGCAGGTGGTCTCTCCTCAGTGTGAGTTCAGGAGCACCAGGTCGGGAGTTACTCTGTGTAATGAAATACGTTGATTCTAGCCCTGGCTGGCTTGGCTCAGTGGTAGAGTGCCGGCCCTCGGACCAAGGAGTCTTGGGTTTGATTCTGGTCAAGGGCATGTACCTTGGTTGCGGTTTGATCCCTGGACCTGGTCAGGGTCATGCCAGAGGCAACCAGTCGATATGTCCTTCTCATGTCAATGTTTCTCTCTCCCTCCTTCCCACTGTATCTGAAGATAAATACGAAAAAAAAATGTCCTTGGGTAAGGATAAATAAATAAATAAATAAATAAATTTTTAGCCCTGGCTGGTTTTCTCAGTGGTTAGAGCGTTGGCCTGTGGACCAAAGAATCCTGGGTTTGATTTCAGTCAAGGGCAGTACCTCTGTGTACTTCATCCCTGGCCCCAGTTGGGGTAGTGCGGGAGACAACAATCAATGTGCCTCTCTCACATCGAAGTTTTTCTCTCTCTCTCACTCCCTCCCACTCTGTCTGAAGATAAATGTAAAATATCCTTGGGTGAGGATTGAAAAAAAAAAAAAGAAATGCTTTGATTCTATATATTGTTTATACTGCATAACAAATCACCAAACTTAGTGGCCTAACCAACACCCATTTATTACCTTGTCGTTACCATGGGTGAGGAATCTAGGCGCAGTTTAACTGGGCTCTCTGCCTCAGGGTCTCGCCCAGGCTGCAGTGAAGGAGACAGTTGGCCAGGACTGGGGTTTGATCTGAAGGCTTCACTGAAGAAAAATCTGCTTCTGAGCCACATGGTTGTTGGCAGGATTCAGTTCCTATTCAGTCCTGCAGGACTGAGGACCTCAGTTTCTAGGTGGCCATGGGACAGAAGCCACCCTTCATTATTTGCCCTCTGGGCTTCACCAACATGGTAGCTCGTTTCCTCAAAGTATACAAGCCAAAAAGGTAATGGAGGAGAGTCTGCTAGGAGGGTGGAAGTCCCAGTAGTCTGTAACCTAACACATCCCATCACCTTTGCTGTATTCTGTTAGTTAGAAGCAATTCACAAGGTCCCGTCCTCATTCAAGGAGAGGGGTAATTACACAAGTATGTGAATACTAGGAAGGGTGCCAATCACAGTTCCAGTTTAAGAATGAAAAGGCATAAGCCAGAAGCAAGTGGCGGCGGGGGCACTATTTTTTGATTATTTATTATGTGCTGAGCCCATCGCACATGGACTGTCTCATATAATTCTCACAACCACCCTGTGGCCTAGCTGTCATCCCCACTGCACAGAGAACATTAAGTTTAGAAGGGTTGACGGACTGTCTCCGGGTAAACAGGTAAATGGTAGAGCCAGGATTCAGAGTAGGTCTGCCGAACTAGCAAGCCCGTGCTTCTTCTAACCACCCTGTCGCCGCATCGCCTTTCCACCTGTGCGCGCCAGTGTCCCGCCTGCTTCCTCTCCTCCGGCTCCCCGTCGCCCTCCCAGTCCACTGACGGGAACGGCTCTTACAGCGTCCTGACTCCGGGGCTGTCCCTTCTATTTCCACCTTATGTACTTTCCCCTTTAGTACCATATTGGTTACTGCTGGGAGGTCTGGGGGAGGTCTGGGGATCAGAAACAGCTTGGGGAAGGATGGCCTCTAAGCAGAATTCTCCCCACATGGTTGGGGAGTAGACTGGTTTGGCCCCCAGACACCCTTTTTCTGATGGGATCACAACCAACCATGGGGACTAGAAGGTTCAGGGCCTTGCCTGGGAGTAACTGAAGGTGGGGAGGTAAAACCAGCTGTGATGGGACATTTAATTAATGCAGGGCGTGAGAGAAAGGACGATGCCATGGGCTCAGTCAGCTGGGTGGACAGTGAACACACTCACTGGAAGAGGAAGACCCTGGTGGAAGGGGGGGGGGGGGAGAAGAGAGCAGTTTCCAATATGCTGAATTTCAGGGTCTCTAGGTATTAGATGATTTCAAGGAACTACTGTTTATTTTACTGGGTGTGAGAATAGAACTGAAGATAATATATAATATATACAGGGTGGGGCAAAAGTATGTTTACAGTTGTTTGTATGGAAAATAATACAATAATTAATAAATAATAATAATACAAGAATTAAACTGTTTTACATACTCAGAACTGTAAACCTACTTTTGCCACACCCTATATAAAATCTGTTAGAGCTAATTATTAAAATGAGATAATACAACAAAATGAGGCTGCTTTAAGATACTCTAGAAAAAAAGGGCAGGGAAGGTTGGAAATGGAGGCAGCTAGATGAGACATAAATGGCAAAGGGATGGCTGTTGAAGCTGGTGATGGGGTCTCTACTATTGGCTCTGTTTTTGTGTATGCCTAACACTTGGGTGATGATGATGATGAAAGCATGAATAGCACAAAGAGAAAGACCACACTATTCTTTTCAGCAACCTGGCTGTGAAGGGAAGAAGTGAAATCGTGACAGAGAGAGCAGTGCAGGGACATAAAGGAGCTTATTTTTAACATGAGTTACTTGAGTATGTTTGTCAGCTAAGAGGAAGTACCAGTGAAGAGAGGGTACCTGTTAGCTATTGCCACAAAATTGCTGCATAACAAAGCAGCCTACAACTCAATGGCTTCCAGTTGTTTATGGTCATGGATGTGTGAGTTGGCTGAGGGTCAGCTGATGGCAGGCTGATCCGTGCTAAGCTGCCTTGGGATGGCTCAGCTTTGTTCCTCTTGTCTCTTCTTCCTGGGACAGGCTACAGCAGAAATGTCCTCCTTGTGGCAATGGCAGAGGCACAGGAGAGCAACGCACATGTTGTCTTGAGGCCTAGGCATGCTGTCACTTCCAACTTAGAGGGGCAAAGTAAGTCACACAGCTGAGCTTAGAGTCAAGGAGAAAGAAGATATCTCCACTCTCCTTTATGGGAGGAGCGAAGTTACATGGAAAAGGGCAGGTGCAAAACTGAGGCCAGCAGACACAATCTTCCAGCTAGAACAGGCATACCAGAGTTCTGTCTAGGTTAACCCACAAGAACCACAGTCTTATTCCTTCCAGGTGGAAGCTATTTGGGCTATTTGGGGAAGAGCCTGAGCACCAGGTAGGCCAAAGACTCTTTCAGGAGTCATTAGCCATGGGGCCTTAAGGAGCCAGATTATGTAAGATCCAGGCTGCTTGGGTTGAGCCAAAACCCTTGGAAAATCAGTCACAAGGGCAGAAACTCTGAGTCTTACAGAAGAAGCTGATCTGGAGAGAGAGGCAGGGATGATCAGACTGTGAGGGCCTGAAGCTTGGATGAGAGAGGGGAAGGGGAGAAGAGGGGGGGAATGAAAAGTGAGGATGGGTGGGTGGGTGGAAGGGGAGGGGAGAGAGAGAGAGAGTGGGAGAGAGAGAGAGGGAGAGAGAGAGAGAGAGAGAGAGGTGTAGCCAGATGGAGATGGTGAGATTATTTGACTTACAAATTATGTGGTGTTTGAGGATGCTGCTTGATGTTCAAGTAAAAAACAAACAAACAAAAACCCCTATTCATCTTTTAGAAATGTGGGACACTGGAAAAACACACTGAGGAATAAACTTCAGAGAGGAAAGAGGCAGAGCAATGGATCAGTTCACAGGAAAGAAACAGAAAGAAGAAAAAAGGCCTGGCCTGGATCCTGTCAGTGGCTTTACATGCAGAGTTTTTGACAAAACTAAAAGTTAGTGGTAAAAGTGCCTAGCACAGGGGGTGGAGATTAAATATAATCACATTCACCCCCAAAATGACTCTAACAGGTGGTTACTAACAGTCCGATGTAAAGGAGAGAAAAGAGTCAGCACAAGGGAAACTGTTTAAGACTTCCAGAGCTGTAGGAGGAATGAGTGTGGACCTGGAGAGGGGCTGGAGCAGCCAACGAGGAAAGTGGACACATGTCCCAGACACCCTATCAGTCCTCATATGACAGGTGTTATTAACATTATCTCCACCTTAAAGATATGGAGACTGAGGCTCTGGAGTGAGTATTGAAAAGGTTAGTAACATTTTAAAGGGTAAAGATAAAAGCTGGCAAAGGTGGAAACTGAAAAATGTGTTGCTTGCATGACCTTTGCTCAGCCTTCTGTTGAGTGAGGATTATTGGGTTATCTGCAAGATACAGGATGTGATACCAGACCAGTCCAACTACAGAGTGGACATGGGCCAGCAGAGTATGTCAGCAGGAACTGCTGAAAGTGAAAACTAGAGTATATAACCTACACCCCAACTGTTATTCGAGGCTGACCCCCTTTTCGGCTCAGCCCACCTGCACCTAGGCGCATGCAATAAAGCCATTTTGCCATTTTGCTCTACATTGGCCTTGCATTGTGGATGCAATATCCCCCCAGCTCAGACCTTTTAAGTATGATGTAAGCATCCAAGTCAGGACTGACTGCTGGGCCCTGTCTTGTTCTCTGCAGGAACCTGCTCATCAGACTCAGACAGGGCTTGCTTAATGATTTGGAATGATGCAGGCTGTAAAAAATACCAGCCTGACAGAACATCAGCCTATCCATCATGTTATTCTCACCCAAGAGGACATCCTTGAAACACATGGTCTTCATAAATCAAGATACATAACAAGATTCATTCAAGCCTCTCAACGGTGCTTTTCAAATCTTCATGTCTGTCAAATCACCTGGAGATCTCTTTGATCTCTTAAATCTGAGGTTGTGGTTTCGAATGATGCTGCTGGTCCACAGACCACATTTTGAGCAGCAAGGCCTTAGGTAAGTGGTTCCCAAACTTTTCTGCACATTGGAGTCACCCAGAGACTTTCTAAAGTACTGATTCTGGTTTCCCACCTCAGAAAGTGTGATTTAATTGGTCCGGGGCTTAGGAGTTTTAAAAGATCTCCATGTGATTCTGACCTGCGGCCAAGTTTAGGAAGCACTGTTCTGGGGCTTGCAGAGGAAGCATGTGGATTGCATGCGAAGGAAGGAATCCATAAAGAATACAAATTGATAGCGTGGTAAGAACAGGATAATTTAAATTTTGCAGGGTCAGTATTGTGAATAAGGTGGCGGCGGACGGGAAACAAGTTACATTTACTCAGTGCCTAAGCATCTGTTGACGCCCAGGCGCCTTTTTCCGTGGAGGAGGGCAGGAGAGACGCAGGCCCAGGAAAGGCTTCCCGGAGCATGCGCGAACGCTTCGCCGCGCGGGGGGGGGAGCCTGCTGCACTGCGCAGGCGCTGCAGTCCCGCCCCTCCGGGGGAGGCGTGCGCGCCGCAATCCCGGAAGTGCGCCGAGCCCGGCTGGGAGTCCTGGCGGAGCCCGCCCGGCGTGGCCAGCGCCCTCGGGTTCCCCGCACGTGGCTCAGCACGTGGCTGAGCGCCTGCCCCTGGGCGCCCTGGAGCCGCCGGCATCAGCCGGCGAGACGGTGTCATCCCTGATCATCGTCGACGCGTTCGTTGGGGCCGGCGAGAGCGCTGCCCCGCCGCTCCCCGCCCCTGCCAGGAGGTTCATCTGCTCCTTCCCGAACTGCAGCGCCAATTACAACAAGGCCTGGAAGCTAGACGCGCACCTGTGCAAGCACACGGGGGAGGTAAAGAGGCGGAAGGAGCGACCCCGCAGGGACTAGTGGCCCCGCAGCCCGCCGAGTGGGATCCGCTCGCGTGGGTGCACTGGTCGCAGCCTTGGCTTTGCAGGTTGTGTTCAGCTTTGGCACCATGGACCGCAGAAGGGAACCGGTCATGCCTTAGGTTAGGGAAGGAGCTGAGGAGGTAGACAGAAGTTCTAGGATCGAGGTATCTTTGCCAGGCTCGGGTTTTCTATAGCAAACTTTCCTTCTTTCTTCTTTCATCTTGGCCAGTCTCCTCCTCTGGGTAATCTGTAAATACGTGTGATTGGAAGTCCCCACTCCAGCAGACACCTGCCTGAAGCACCTCTCGCCTAGAACTTATGTGGAGGATAACATAAGTACTGGAGGTTTTGCAAGAAGCATGCAGTCGTTCTTTCAAAACTCAGTACCCTTCTAGCCCTGGAGAGAGAGCAGTGAACAAAACAGGCAAGATTTCTGTGGTCACGGACCGTATGCTCTAAGCAGGACGGACAGACGTAGGAGTGGGTAGGAGTCAGATGCAGTAAATCGAGGACTGCTGGAGGATGCTCAGGAAAGGCCTCTCTGTTGGCCTGAATTTGGAGAGAAGGAAAGGATCCAGCCATGCAGCCATTTGAGGGAAAAACAGGCTGGGCTGAGAGGACTGCAGGGAGAACCTGTGGTCCTGGGCTGGGGGTGTGGGGGAGGCAGGCCAGTGATATTGCCTGGGACCCATACAAGAGGAGCTCTGAGAAGCAGGCCTGAGGGGATGATTTTTAGGCCGGGGTACAGTTAGATGGGTTTGGAGTGTGCATTTTACTTCGAGGGCAATAGGAATACTTTGAAGGGAGACAGTTGAGGGAAGGGGGGCTCATGGAGGCCAAGGAATTGGCCCAATTTCCCAGTTTTGGGCAGAGCCTGGCTTCCTATTGCCTCAGCTAAAGGCCTTTAATTTTTTTTCCCCCTCCAATTTTTATTCATTTATTTTTGTAAGGCCTTCAATTTCTTAAGTTAGAGGCTTGCAGTCCCTGCCCCTGCTCCTCGTCAGTCCCTGCCTGGCTCCTTGATCTTGGCCAATCACCTCCTCATAACATCCATGATCCTTTGCCTACTGATCTTCCTCTCACCCATCCTATACCCCACAATCTGAGTGCTATAACCAGTATGTCCAAATTAGAGTTTACCATCAATTTTAGACATGTGTCATATTTTGGATATTGGCACTACCAGCTTTCATCGTACAGGCTGGAAACCTAGAAGTCACCTTTGTTGTCCCAAATCTCACACATTAATTTGGCAAATACTGATTGAGCCTACTCCACGACAGGAGTTGTGTAAAGTTCTGAGGATCAGTCCCTCAGCACAGACACGGGGCTTGTCCAGGATGAAGCAGAACCTGCACATTCTTCCCTGGGCTTTGGATGGGCACACATGCTGTGGTGGAGATCTGCGTACATAGGTCATGCTGATAGGCAAGTCATCTTTAAGAGGGGGTTGCACTTGAAGCCAGGTATCAGGTTGGAAGCAGTGGTGCAGGCTGCTGGCTTACTGCGTATGCTATTCATAGAGCACAGTCTGCTGCAGTGCGTTTGTTGAGAAGTTGTGTCATTGATGTGTAACTTCATGCAGGACCACCTTGTCTGGCCTTGGTGTAGCGGGTGCTCTACACTTAGTGAAAACCATCTCTGGAGACAGAGCCCATGGCCTTGCCTACATTTGAGACCTTTAAATAATACCAGAGTTACTATTGTGGGCAGAATTGACACTTTTTTTTCTTTCCTTCCTGCTAGAGACCATTTGTTTGTGACCATGAAGGGTGTGGCAAAGCCTTTGTCAGGGACTACCACCTGAGCCGCCATGCCCTGCTTCACACTGGAGAAAAGCCTTTTGTGTAAGTAGGGAACTGGGTTGAGGCCTCTGAAATGACTGTGTGGCACATTGACCTGGTAGAAAACTGACTGGTTGTTACCTCAAGATCAAGAGATTGTGAAGCTTCATTTGCATCTCCTGATACAAGAGGAGACCAGGATTTGAATGTGTGGAAGGGAGTAGGGGTTTTGTGGGTTGTGTTTAATAATTTCAGGAATAAGTTAATTCGAATTCTCTTGCATTTGCATCCTCTTGTCTCCTTTTAAAGTTAACACTAAATGGAAATCAGCCTTGGAACACACACAGTTTAGACCAGATGGAAATGATCCTTGGCAGGTTCTTGGCTCCACATTGTCAGGGTCTTTCTGAACTGATATGCTGCTGGGATAAGAGGTAAAAGCTTGAAGACGTCGAGCTTTTAATAGTTTATTTTGTGTTTCTTTGATTAAACCCCTGCACCTCTACCAAACCTGTTTTAGTTTTTTTCTCAGAGTTGCTGTTTATTTATCTGAAAGGGTGGAGATACAACTTTTCTTTTAAATCCATACTTCTGTCCAGCCGGTAAGGCTCAGTGGACTGTGTCATCCCATGGACTGAGGTCCCAGTTCGATTCCTGGTCAGGGCACATGCCTGGGTTGTGGGCTTGATCCCTAGTAGAGGGTATACAGGGGGCAGCTGATCAATGTATCTCTCTCACATTGATGTTTCTATCTCTCTCTCCCTAAAAAAAATTATTTTAAATAAATACTTCTTTAAAGCAATAGACCTCAAATTTAGGGTGCATCAGAATCACCTGGAGGCTTTTTAAAGGGCTTGTTAGTGAGCTTGCTGGACTCCACTCCAGGAAAAGCTCATTCAGTAGGTCTAGGGTAGCGCCTGAGAATTTGCATTTCTTGCAGTTTCTGGGTGATATTGATGCTGCTGGTCAGGCAACACAGTGGCCCCCTTCCACATTACCCTCCAGGTTGCTTTCCTTCTTAAAACGATGCAATGATTCTTAAGCACTGCTTACATGATGAAGTCCAGGTTCTTAGTATGTCATATAAATGACCTTTGTGATTTGGCCCTTTTCTGCTTATCTTGACTCATTTGCTTGAATTTCAAGCATGAAATTGTGGTTCAGTTATGCTTCACTGACCAGCAGCCTCCCTCTGCTTATCCCTGCTAACTTTGCCAGGGTCTTCAGTGGCCCTGTGCCTGCTATTTGGCTCCTGTCAGGACTTTTCCTGGTCCTAGCCTGCCCCATACCTGTGTTAGGTTAGATGCCTGTGTCAGGATAAAAGTCAAGAATGACAGAAAGCCCAGTGCTATAGAGACTTAAACAAGATAGTCTCTTTTTCTCTTGCATAATTGAGTTGCAGCAGTAAACAGTCAAGGGCTGCTCTGTAATCATCAGGATCTGGGTCTAGCTTGTCTCTGCCATCCTCATCTTGGGGCTTCAGTGTCATGGTCTGAGATGCCTCTTGGAGCTCTAGCTGTCGCATAAGCATTGCAGCTGCCAAATGGAGGAAGGTGCAGAAGAGGCGTGCCCCCTTTTTAGACAGCTTGTGGGATTTAAGTACCATGGACCAGACCTTAGCCATGTTGCCACCCCTGATTGCAAGGGAGGCTGGAGAAAGCTCTCTTTGTGTTGGCCATGTACCCAGTTGAAACTCAGCATTCTGTTCCTGAGGTCAAGAACACCTGTCGGAACTTCCAGTGGTTTCTGCCACAGTACCCCTCCTGGTGTGTTTCCAGTGGGCTTCTGGGCATGGCTCCCACCGTCACTGTGCACATTGTCTTCCTCCAGCTGCTGTGGATAGCACAGGGCTTCATATGAGTACTATTCAGTGTTTATTCAGTGTTTATCAGTGAATGTCAGCAAGATTAGGGCTTATAAAGGAAGTCCTGCCTCATCCATCAGGCTGGTGAAAACTCATCACAAATAGTGCACATATTTCAAAAACACAACTTCACACAGAATTTAGGTAACTCAAGGCCAAGATATAGAAATGCTTATTAAGAGAATTTGATCAGCTTGGTGATATGCCAGAGGGCAATAATGGTTTAAAGTTTTGTGTTACCTCTAACTGTAAGCAGAAACCAGTTTGTTTTTTCGTTTTTTGGGGGAAGTGATTTTGGAAAGGCAGTTTATAGTGACATTTCAAGCAAAATTTAGGTTTTCAGATTCTAAACTGCACAATTTGACTTAAACATCATTTAAGCCTAAACAGGGTCTGGGCTTTTGGAGCTAGCGTTTTCACCGCCCCTCTGCCAGCGTGCCAGGGGCGGCTGACGCCGTGGCCAAGCCTAGCGGGTACTCGCTAATACTCGCTAATACTCGCAAATCACAGCAGAGCAGAGGGCCTGCATGGGGGCTTCCACTTGGCAATTTGTTAGACTGTTTTATACCGTACTTTGTACAATTCGCTTTTATAAAGTCTTTCAACTGTTCTTCCCTTGGTTTATTAATATTTGGGTTTACAATTTCTCCCAGTTGTGCAGCTAGTGGCTGTGACCAAAAATTCAACACAAAGTCAAACTTGAAGAAACATTTTGAACGCAAACATGAAAATCAGCAAAAAAAATATGTAGTAAGTAGGAATAATTTTCTCTGCTTGCATTCGCCGAATATTTTTATGCTTATTGTCTGTTTCTGAAATTTTCGTCAACCAAATTTTGTCTGTCAAATATTGCTAACTACAGTATGAAAAATGTTTCTCTTTAAAGTTCCCTGACAAAGATTTTTATAGTAACTGAATGGGGGAAAGTAGCAAGTCTGTAATCTCTACATTTTTATCTTGAGGATTGTATGAACCATTTCTAGATTTTTCTCAAGACTAACAAACCTTTACTGAACAGTGCACTTTTGAAGGTTGTGAGAAGACCTTTAAGAAACATCAGCAGCTGAAAACCCATCAGTGCCAGCATACCAATGAACCACTGTTCAGGTAGGTACACCTGGGGGTGAAAGTCCACATCGCACATTTCAGGCGGGAATTAATTGAAATGCAAAGGTTGGGTACAAATGTTCTGAAACAGTTTATTAAACAACATTTTTTCTAATATCATGTATAGTGTACGCCCATTATATATTGGGCCATTCCAAAAGTTCAGTTTTGCTTATGTTTCTCTAAAAGAAATATTTAATATGCTTCAGAATGATTTGTGAGATTAGTACAGTTATGGTTAAGCCTGAAGGGAAAACTAATAAATGACTTAATTATTCAAAGAGAGCCTGTCCAATGACAAGGCACGTCATTATGAAGACCCTACTTATTCTTTTCCTGTAAAACAAAAGCAGCATGGCCGAGTTTGCATTAGAGAGGGTTTCACGAGGAACAGGAAAGGAGGCGGACATTAGAAGAGCCTGGAGGGATGCTCACCACCTGCGCAGACTGGCTGCCCCTGCCTGGGAGCGGCAGCGTGACAGCACTGTCCTCGCCTGCAGGCCTGCTGCTTCTCGAGCTGCTGGTGGCATTGTCGCCAAAGAGGCGCGTGCTTTTCACTCTTCACCAGAGGCTGGTGTGTTTTCTTTTCACCCATCCGCATGCAGCATGGTTAGAAAACTAGATACAAACGATTATTTGGAACGGTTTTATAAGTGTTGACCTAAACCATCCTTTTTGTAGCCATGAAAACAGGGAGTGGATATTCAGAAGTATAAAGATAAAAGTGTTTAATTTGATCACATAAGCAAAAAAAAGGTGACATTTTTCTCTCTGTTTCAGGTAACTTGAATTTTACCTGTGACAGGGTCTAAGTTTTAAATCTCATTTGTATATGACTGGTTTGGTTGTGGGAAGAGCGGACTTTGGAGAAATAGGACAAAGTACCGTTTACCCTAAGTGGAGTTCTCTCTGAAAACGGACTGGACGATGCTTCGTGTCTTGTTACCCCAGGTGCACCCACGAGGGCTGTGGAAAACACTTTGCGTCACCCAGCAGGCTGAAGCGACATGGGAAGGTCCATGAGGGTGCGTAGTGTCCTCTGTCATGCTCACTTTGCCTAACAGCAACCGTAGGTGTACCTGTGTAAGTCTTTGAACGCTCGGTGCTGTCTACTGCCTTCCTCGGTCATACTGAGGACTCAGAACTGGGCGGGGCACCCTCCTGCCCAGTCAGGTCTTGGCTCCTGACCAGAGGTGCTGCATGTAGCGCCTGGTCTCCGGCTCTGCTGTCGTCAGTCAGTGTGGCTCTGTGCAGGGCACGTGCCTGGTTGTGCTGTCCTGTGCGTGCTGGTGCTCCGCCAAGACGTTGTGCTTCATGGCTTTTAATCCCTGCGACTTCCTGCCCGTGTCCCTCTTCCGGGCGTGCTCAAAGGGCTTAGAGTTTGGAGTTTTGAGAACAATCAGTAACTTTTTCAAAAAAGACTTGATTAAACTAACTACTTGACTCTATTTTGTTTCCACATAGGAAGGATTTTTGATATCTATAAATTCCAATTTCCCAAACCCTAGATTTTATTTATTTTTGAACAAGAGACTAGTAGCTGAGTGACAGGCAGCCTCATTCTTTTGTTTCTGCCTGGCGTTTATTGGGTGAAACTCAGGCTGGCGGTTACACTGACTAATGATCCAACCCAGTGCCCCACGCAATGTCAGTGTTTGTTCCTAGGCTTTCTCGCTGGGTTATTCCAGCTGTACCCTGCTTCTCTTTGCCATATGAAACTTACAAGATGGTAAGACTAGAGGGAGCCGGGGTGGGCATATAACTGCTGAGATTTAGTGCTGGTGCTGGTGCCAAGGACAAAGGTCCACCTGAACTTTTTTGCTGAGGCAAGCATAGGGCGGGATCAGGCGGAGGGTGTCAGGGGGCTGGGGGAAGGAGAAACATCTGTAACAAAAATCAATCAATTAAAAAAAAAAGGCCGGTGTAAGCAGGGAGGCGGAGGGCCATGGCCGTGGAGGCGGGTGCGGTCCGGTCCGTGTGCAGTTCATTGGGCTCCTGAGGGCAGCAGGAAGGGGAAAGGCCGGCGCCTTCTGGTGAAGTCGGCGAAGGCCAGATCCTGCATGAGGTCCCTTGACATGCACCTGTTTGGTTTTGCTGTAAAATGTCACCCTAGTTTTTACTGTCACCTCTCGAGACTAGCAGAATAGAATGCTATTGGGAGATGGGAGAAAAATTACATAGGCATGTAGGTTTCCTTTCGAATTATGATGGGTGTTTACACTGAATATTCACAAAAGGCAACACACTAATCTATTTTTTTAATAGGTTATAAATGTCAAAAAGGATGTTCCTTTGTGGCAAAAACATGGACAGAGCTTCTGAAACATGGGAGAGAAACCCATAAAGGTAAGGCAGACATGAATGGCTTGGTATAACCATTTGTCCCAGTAGAACTGACTTAGTGCTTTTAAAGAGAGATATTCAATATGCACTTAACAATATCTTCAGATGGGGGGGTGGAGAAAGAAACATTGATGTGAGACAGACACGTTGACTGGTTGCTTCCTGTACAACCCCGACCAGGGCCGGAGACCACAACCAAGGTATGTGCCCTTCACCGGAATTAAACCTGTGACTCTCTGGTCTATGGGCCGGCATTCCAACCACTGAGCCAAACCAACCAAGGCTTGTTTTATTTTTTATTCCTCACTTGAGGATATCTTTCCATTGATTTTTTTTTCAGATAGAGTGGAAGGGAGGGAGAAAGGGGCAGAGAGGGGGAGAGCGAGAGGAACATCGATGTGAGAAAGACACATCGACTGGTTGGCTCTCACAAGACCCCAACTGGGGCTGGGGATCGAACTTGCAACCCAGCTACGTGACCTTGACCAGTAACTGAACCTGCAACTCTTCCGTCTGTGAGCCGAGGTTCTAACTGCTGAGCCAAAGTGGCCAGGGCAGCATTTTTAAAGGGTATGGCAAATAAAGAATTGGGAGATACTGGTGTTCTCTGGGGCAGTTTGGGATAATCATAAGTTTTAGATACTGAATATTAGTGTTTTCTATGTGGTAATGCTTGGGGAAAAGGTGAAAACTCTGTCTGCTTCGCCAGAGGAAACGGTATGTGAAGTGTGCCGGAAGACATTCAAACGCAAAGACTACCTGAAGCAACATATGAAAATGCATAACCCAGAAAGGGCCGTGTGTCGATGCCCAAGAGAAGGCTGTGGTAGAACCTACACAACTGTGTTCAATCTCCAGAGCCACATTCTCTCATTTCATGAGGAAAGGCGGCCGTTTGTGTGTGAGCACGCTGGCTGCGGCAAAACCTTTGCCATGAAAGTGAGTACTCCCCCTACAGGGGCGGCGCTTTCTGCGTGAGGCCTTCCAGCCGGGTTCCTGGGGCCTTGGCTTTCAGGACGGTGTCCCAAGGCCTGCAGGTGGGAAGGCGGGTGCATCCCACTCTTGCTTTAACCAGAGTGGCCCTGAACTAACACAGCCGGGTTGGCCTGTGCCAAGTGGTTCTCAGAGTGAGGCATGGCCCAGAAGCACCAACGTCACCTGGAAACTTGCTAGACATGCATCTCCACGCGCCCTACTCTAGATCTATGGAGTCAGGAACTCGGGGGTTGGGGGCCCAGTAATGACTTTAACAAACCCTCAAGGTGATTCTCTTGTGGGCTGTTTGAGAACCAGTGGCTTACGGTACCAAATGCTTGTTCAAAAGAGTAGACTGATTTTGGGTGTCCTTTTAGACTGTTACCACCTACGAGCCACGCTTTTAGACCCCAGTCATGGAGGAATTGAGAAGGGAAGTTGGCAGAAGGACGCAAGGGACTGTAGAGCTTGGGAATTTGTCTAGTCTCTTGGTGAGATTCAAGTGGGCTGGGAACATGACACTAAGTGGAGGGGCCTGTGCAGTTTTGTGGACAGTCCCTCTGGTTGATGCTCTTACCAGCACTTAAACCATGAATTCTAATGAAGACAGGAGAGAAATGAGGCGGGCCCGGCACAGGGCCAAACCATTAGAAAACGACGTGGAGAGCTGCGGGTGGTCCACAGTATCATCAAGGACAGCAAGATGTTGGTCAGATATTCCTTTGGTTTGGGATGCTGTTGACATAGCTCCAGTTAAAAGCACCTCCTTCACTCTGGAACAGTTCCTTCAGAACTAGTTTCCCCGACCTCTTGCTTATGAAAGAGCTAAGAAGACACAGGAGATCGAGGCTGTATGAACTCCTCACTTGGGTCCTTGGAAGAGGCAGTGATTTCAGCCCAGGATTTGAGGAAGAGTCCTCCTCTGGTGGGAGTCCTTGTAGGTGGTGGTCAAACCCAACAGAGCATAACAGAAAGAAGGCTGTTTATTTAAATAACTCAAGGAGTTTCATGTTAATGGGCACCAAATGGCAGTGTTTTAAAAACAACTTTTTTTTTTTTTGCAGCAAAGTCTCACTAGACATGCCGTTGTGCATGACCCTGACAAAAAGAAAATGAAGCTCCAAGTAAGTCGAGACGACTTAGGCAAGCTGTTGTCGTTAAAACATAAATCGCTGATTGAAGCCAGATGCAATCTAGTTAGAGTATTTCTGACTATTATGTGTGAGTCTGCACCGCTATGGAAAGAATCGGATGGATTTCACTTCCTGTAGAGGAGTGTTGTGTACCTGTCAGGGTGCTACTGTAAAATCAGCTCAGGTAATTCTGATCTTGAATTCTAATTGTTGTCCCTATTTCCAAAGGTAAAACGGGCTCGTGGGAAACGGAGTTTGTCCTCCCACCTCAGTGGATACATCCCTCCTAAAGGGAAACGAGAACATGGCCTGTCTCTGCCTAAGACCGGAGCGTTGCTGAACTGCGCTGAAGACAAGGTGCTGTCGACGGTTGCAGTCCTTACCCTCAGCTAAGCACCCAGCTGCTGTCGGGCCCGCCGGCTCAGTTACAGGCAGGCCTCAGAGCGGGCTGGTTCCAGACCGCCACCACAGACGTGTAGTGCAATAAAGCAAGTGGAAATGTTTTTGCTGGTGGAGGGCCTTGCCTTCTGTTTGTAAAAAAATGCAACATCTATGAAGCATGGTGAAGTGAAGCACAATAAAACAAAGTATGCCTGTATTTTCAATCAAACATATTTTTCCTTTAATCACTGATGCCGAATATCTGATTCTCTATCATTTTCATTTTCTTTGTTCAAAGGGTCTCCTTTCTGGGTCTCTTGAGTTTGTCTATATGCAATCTCTTCCTTTTTGCTCAAATGACGAAGAACACACATTACAGCTTTTCCTCCTTTAACAGGTTGTGGCTTGGATGAGAAGGTAGCTATTCCAGGCATAGTCTGGAGAATTTGATTAACTAGTTCCTCCTAAGACAGGGAAATAGCCAAAGATTAATTTAAAACCAGTGTTTTGATTCTTTCTAATATCCAATTCTTGAATTGCTGCTATCTAAGTGATCATCTAAATCAGATCCTACCTGTCCAGTGGGCTGACTGAAACCTGTCCAGTAGCCAGGCAGTCACACAGACTCCGTGTCACGAGACTAAGGCACCAAAGGCTTGGTCATTTGAAATCCCTCCTCTGTCACTGCACTGAGGGGCTATGTTTGGCCTCTGGTTATCTTGCAAAATAAGTACAAAGCAGTGGGTTTGGGTACTGGCAGAGTGGCCACTTATCCCCCAAACTGAGCCCAGTGTAGCTCCCAACACTTACACAGTCACTTGGGGAATTACAAAAATTCACTGGTTCTAGAGATTCTGGGCCAGCTGGCTGGCACCCAGGCTTAAGTCACTAAGGGGTTAATCAACACTGGGCTGATGCTCTTTTAGTGGGTACATTATCTAACTGAAAGTGAAATACAGCCATGGCTGGTTGTTCAGTGGTTAGAGCATTGCAGGTTCGATCCCCAGCCCCACTGGGGCTGTGCAGGAGGCAACCAATTGATGAGTCTCTCTCACATCGATGCTTCTCTCTCTCCCTTCCTCCCTCCCTCCCACTCTCTCTAAAAGGCAATGGACAAATATCCTCGGGGAAGGTTTAACAACAACAACAAAAGCGAAATAGATATGCCATAAACGTATCCTGGGGTTGTAAGCTGACACTTTCTTGAAGTCGATTTGACTCGAAAGTTTCTAGTTTTTCTATTTAAATGTTAGATATTCTACAATTTGTAAAATAGGGTAGTACATAGCCTTTAAATTATGAAGTAGAATGTTTTCATATACAAAATATTTATGCCACAATGGAAAAAGTAACAAACGGTATGCTTGCACTTTGAAAAACAAATTGGAAAGCCATCATCATCACTAATAGAAATTACTGTTACTTCTCTTTGCCTTTATATTTTCCAGATTTTCTCTGATTGTACTTTTAAATCAGAAAACAAAAAACACACATTTCTGATTTTACTTACCATGTGATTTTCTGGCTCTTCTACATTCTTTGCCTTCTTTATAGTAACTTGAACTTTGTATTTTTTCTCAATCCACTGCTGAATCTGTTTACTCTTTGTGTCCAAATCATGTTGTCCGATATTTGAAGAAAATGTTAGTTCCTTTGTCAGAGCTGGTCCTAGTTGGAAACAGTGAGACTTGGTGCTGGGACTATTTACCACCTTGTTTATGAGACTGAACCTCACCATACACTTCAGAAAGTCTTAGGCTGCCACGGGGCAAAGGTCCTTTCACCTGACTAGTTTCACAGGCCAGTAAACACTTTTAAGTGCGAGACAGGCATACGGGTACCATCTTTTTTGCCTGTTTAGTAAGGGTAAATATAAAATGCCTCCATTTACGGTTTCCATCATTTGATGAAAGAACACCAAAAGAATGGTCCTTCAAAAGGAACAAGTTTTGCTTTATGATAAACTTAATTATCCTTGTTTTCCTTTTGGGCGTGGATCTGTGGGAAGTGTTCCTCTCTTCTTATTCTTTTGGTGTGGGATCATCCAGACTGCGTCTCGCATTCATTCACACTACTCTGGAAATCCTATCAGAACATTATTTTACAGGGAAGGAACAGATTACTCATTAAAGGCATTGGGACAACTGAGAGTTTTCATAAGGGGGAAAGTTAGATTTTGACCCATACAAAAATCCCCAGATGGACTATCTAAATGTGAAAAATGTTACTTAATACGAACAGCAGAAAAGAAAGGATATGTTTATGACCTCAAGACAAGGGAAAAACAAAAGTGAGAAAACTAACTAGGGTAAGGTTTTTGCTTCATACAGAACAGAGAACCCTATATATCAGAAAGAAAAACCATGGAAGGAAGAAAAAAAAGGAGTATGAATAGGCCACTTGCAGAAGAGGAAACTCAAATGATGAAAGGAAATAGAAATTAAAATAGGATATGGTCTTTCACCCATTAGCATGACCAAAATTAGAGTCTGACAGTACCATGCGTGGGTGAGGACAAAGAGAAAAAGTTCATACCCTGTTGACCATTTGCCCCTCAGGAATCAAGCATGTACAAGGAGACACTGACATACACACGCTCATTGTTCAGAATAATGAAAACTGGGAACAAGCCCCATGGCCAGGGAAATGGACTAACAACGCTATGGTACATGCTTATGATGAAATGTCACTTGGTAATTATAATTAGCTACAGCTATTCCATAAACATCTGGAAATAGTAGTGTGCCACTGACAGTTCTATACATACAAAATTATTCTATATACTGCTTGACTGTAACGAGTTGAACATGGACTGGATCTTCACCCCGAGACTATGAGAGTGGGCGGCCTTTGGGGAAGGAGAATGGAACAGGAGAAAGGAGCGCAGGAGACCGCGACTTTTCTGTAATGTTTTAAGAAAGCTGAAGTACGACAACATTAATGCTTGCTTGTCCATTTTGGATGGTTAAAGTTGTTTATTACATTTTTCTGCTTCTAATTTCCAAACTGAGAGTAATTTTTCTACAAAGTTCTTTTGCTTCCTTAAAGCTCCAACCAGTTGGTCCTCGTTTCCTACCAGGACAGAGTCATGCCTTTGACAGTCTCTGAACACAGCAAGGTTTTTTTCCAATAGCATAGTTTAATGTCCTTATCCTCCTCCTTCTCTTCTGAAAATTTATTGTTTTCCAGTCAACATCCTTGATTTTAAAAAAATATTTTTTTCTTTATTGATTTTAGAGAGAAAGAAAGGGAGAAGGAGAGACAGAAACATGGATGAGAGAACATGGATTGGCCGCCTCCTGCATGCCCCCCACTGGGGATTTGGCCCAAACCTGGGATGTGCCCTGACCGGGAATCGAACCAGCGACCTCTTGGTGCAGGGTCGGCACTCCACCACTGAGCCACACTGGCCGGGCAACATGCTTATTGTTAAGTGTGGTGTTACAAACTGAGTCACAGACAATGCGATTCTCTCAAGATGCACAGCCTCATGGTGGCAGCTCTGGGACTAGTCTTCTGACCCCCACCCCAGTGCTTTTTCCACGGAACAATCTTTCATAATGATCAGTACTAATTAAAAATCATGAAAAACCAACATCTTCACTTATCCAATTAATGGCTTTTATGAGGTTTAAATGACAAATGCCTTGTAAAATGATTGGTAAAATATGTAAATGAGTGTCACTGCTAGTATTATAACAAAATACTCAGGCATGGGAGATGCTCTGTGACTTCAGAGTTTAAAAAGTGCCTCCCTGGAGTTTTAAAGGAGGGTAAGTGAGTGGCTCAGGACAGGAACAGAATTTGAATCCACCTCTTCTGGGTGCCATCAGGTACTCTGCCTGCCTGGGCATTAGGGGACAAAGCAAAGGGAAAAGATTTCCTATTATTTTGATGGTGTTTATCTTGTTTTTCCTCATTTTACATAGGTTTAAAGAAAGAGATGATGGGCACAGGATACAAAAGAAAAGAAAGAAAAAGGAATAGAAATAAGTGAGGGATGAAAAGTAAACACTGGAAACAGTGGTGAAACTGAATTTTCCAGTTGTTCACCCCATTGTCACAGGCACCATAGCAAACGCCCAGTTTAAACCGTTGATTTGTAGGAATTCAAGGGGCCAAGAGCAAACCACCTACCAGTTTTAGGGCTGGCCTTCTCCTGCGCTCTCAGCCTCAGCCGCTCGTCATGGATCTGCGTGCCCGTCATGAGCTGGTACTCGGGGGGCTCCGCGCTGGGCTTCCTCCTCACCAGCCGCAGGTCTCTCTCGTCCATGAGCCGAATCACGTCTGCGCGGTGCATGTTTCCCAAGTCATTGCCCTTCTCATCAAATATATGGATAATTCGCTCACTAATTTTTCTTCCAATGTTACTAAAACCAGTTTCATTCTTTTGTTTCTTTCTTTCATCCTGGGTGTCCTCAACAGTACTAAAAGCTTTTGCATGAGCCAGAGGGGCCAGTCTTGGCGCAGAAGCAGTGAGGGGCAACTGGGCTAGTGCCGTCTTCTGCATGATGTATTTATCCAAACATCTTCTAAGGCAATTATGTTCAGTCCTTATGGTTTGTAATGTCAATGTCTTTAAAAAAACAGCAGCCATTCTAAAAAGTAGGGAGAAACGTTGATTAAAATTAAGTCATTTGTTTTTGTGGTTTAATATAGTGACACAAGGAGGGCATGAGGCTGTGGGAACTGTGTCATCTGTGAATGTTACAGATCGGCGTACAGAAAATGTATACCAATAACATGGACCATCAAGTGACCATGGTCACTCTCACGGCGGTGCTGTCCCCAGTACAAGTTACTGTTAGAATAAAGCATATTTGCACAGTGCTTTTTCCTTCACCAAATATTATCTCATTTGATTCTATTTCCCATGGATCTTATAGTGCCAACTTCAAAAGCAAAGATCACCTGAAGGGTTTTTTTTGGAGTGTGCAGTATACAAAGTCCTTGGTGATTCATAAAAACCGGTTCATAAACTTTTAATACATTTAACATTTGTTAATAGAATGATGGTGCACAATCTAGTAGAGCACTGTTATCGGAAAGTGGGCTCTCCACGAGGACAGCTGACCCACTGCAGAACTAGCTGAGACTATCCGGAGGGAAGTACTCTGTTCATTGAAGTGCTTATCTCAAAGTCTAAAGACCACCCGCAAGGTAGGTCAGGCATTACTACTAAACGTTAACTAAGCATTTGGCACATTGGTGATAGTGGTTTTATGGTTACAAGTGCTGCACTTATATATGGAATCTTGATTTTTTAGTTGTTCCTCTGCCACGTGTCTCTCCTTCCTTTCACAGGTTAGGGAAAGCCTGGAACGAAGGAGGGATGAAAGGACCCATCTCTTCACGTAAGGCTGCTGAGAAGCACTGTAATCAGGAGCTGGGAGAGGAAAGGATCAAGTGCCTCATGTAGTGCTTCTCAAAGAACGGTCCGGGGGTCCCTGCTCGAGGCTGACCTGGGCTGTTTGTTAAGACTAGAAATGCCTTCTGGTCCCTGGCTTTGATCCCACCTGTCAACCCACCTCTACCCCTCATGCCCTGGCTGACAAGTGATATGGGGGGAGAAGGGGGAGGCTCAGTGAATTGAATAGAAAGTACATGGAATATGCATATTCTCACACCCCTCCTTACCTAGCTCGTTAACACCCAGAGTCACTGCTCTGGCTCCAGCCTCTTCCTCGAGTTCCAAACAGGTAGAGTTAATTACCCCTCCCCAACATCTCCACTCGGACATCCAACAGTCACCCCACAGTGAACGTGTCCAAGGCTGAATTCTCCACCTTCCACCTGTACTTGCCCTTCCCTCAGTCTTTCTGGTCTCATACAACGACAGCATGTCCTTCAGGCCAAAATGGCCAAGTTATTCTTGACTCTTCTTTTTCTCTCAGCAAGTCTTCAAATCCTACTGTTCAACTGCTAAAATATATCCAGGGTCCACCCACTCCTCACTTTCTCCATTGTTATCACCCTGCCCCCATATGCCACCACCATCTCTCCCTGGACTACAGTAACAGCCTCCTGACTAGTCTCCCTGCTCTCCCTTACCCCCGCAATTTGTCACCCACAAAGCACACAGAGATCCTTTTAAAATGTGTAAGTTGGATTGCGTGCCTCCTGTGCTTGCAACCCTCCGTGACCGGGCCACAGTGCTCACCCCACTCCCTCCAGCTCACGCTGTTCCAGCCCTGCTGGTGTCCTTGCTGTTCCTTGGAAACACAGGACCTGTCCTCCTCTGGGCCCTTGCACCCAGCTTCCCTTTCTTCAGACAGCCGCGTGGCTCACTCTCGTCAGGTCTCTGCCAAAGGCTACCTCACTGCCTGACATATTTATTCACATGTATGTTCATAATCCTCACTAGAATATAAGCTTCGTGAGAAAATGGAGTTTGTCCATCCTCTTCACTGCTGTTCCTAACACTGGAGCCTGGAGTCCGGCCCCCAGCACGTACTGAACGAGTGTGAGTCCAGGGGACCGGCCGGGCCGGGGGGGTGCTGTCTGCGGCCATCGGAGCTCCGGGCAGTCCCCACGCCGCTCCCCTCACATGTTAAGCTCGCTCTTCCAATGCCCACTGACATCAGTGCCGTCTACGGCCAGATGTCTCACCCACAGAGAATGAGGAGGGTTGACCTGCAGTCCTTACCTGGTTGGGGATTCCAGCTGTAAAAGCTGTAAGGGCCCTAAGGTGGGAGGAAACTAGGTTTGAAATAGCTGAGATACTTCATGATTAATAAAAACCAGTCCGATACTTGTTGGCGGAGGAAGGCCCCAAGCCAAAAAGCAGAACAGTCTGACGAGAGCAGGGAATATATCTCTCCATTTATTATCAGAAATTGCAGCAGCATCAAGTCCCAAATTTCACTCTGAGTTATGATGAAAGCTAATCTGCCCTATGTAATGAGTCATCAACATATTAAATAGAAAGTATTATTTCAAAATGTAGGATTTTTAAGAACTAGGAAATAAACTAGGCATAGAAAAAGATAAAATTTATAAAAACCCTGGTTATTTGAGGTGGAAAATATAGTGATTTTCCCCCTATCCTTCCTAAATAATTATAAAATTTTTATAAAAATTTTTCAAAATTTTTATAAAGAGGAAGTATTTTTATACTAGTAAATATGTTATATTTATTTACAAAATAAAGACTATTTCAGAAAAATGAAGAATATTTTAAAATTTAAAAACAATTTTCGGGGGGGGAAGGTAAAGTGTAGAAAAATACTGTAACTATGTTTTTTTAAAAGTCCTTTACCATTATTCAAATTTTAAAAAGCTTTACATTGTCTTGACTTATACAGCAATTAAGCCTCAATACTAGCTAATTTTTGGCTTTAGATCAGCAAAGTTAAAGATGTACACACTTCTTTAAAATAGGCTTTTAATAGATAAAATTATACATACAGAGATAAAACGTGTTAATAAATCTGAATTGCAAATGTCCACATAAATTCAAATAATTATACAAGTGTTTATTAGGGAAGTTTTTTTCTGTTTGTTTTTGTTTTTATCCTCACCCAAGGACATTTTTTGATATTTTGTTCAGATAGAGTGGGAGGGAGAGAGAGAGATAAACATCGACGTGAAAGGGACACATCGAGTGGCCACCACCCACACGAACCAACCAGGGCTGGGGACAAACTGCAACCGAGGTACGTGCCCTTAGCAGGAACCGAACCCGGGTCTCTCCAGACCGCAGGTCGACGCTCCAACCGCTGAGCCAAACCGGCCAGGGCAGGGAAGTTTTGAGACATGTACAGAAAGAACTAGAATAAGCCCTAAGCACCCATTGCTTGGTTTCATCAGCAGCACTTGGTCACCTTGTTTCATCTCTACCCTCAGCTCTTCCCACCCCCACCCATCCATGAGCTATTTCAAAGTAAATTGTATCTCATCAGTAAATAACTCAGTTTGTCATCTCTAAGAGGTAAGGTCTTTTTTATTTTCTTAATAACCGCAACAACATTATTCCAACTGATAATTTTCCCTTTATGTCATCATACACCCAGTTTTCAGATTTCCCTGATAATATTATAATTTTGTTTGTGTATATTTAATTTACAGTTTGGTAACATGAAGAGCCTCCCACTGGTCACATGTATTATAATTTAAACATTAATGACTAAAATTCATTTCGACACATCACATATGCAAAAATCTACTTAAAAAAAGATCATTTGCCACAACTATATGTGACATTACCTTGTCTCTTTACTTTGAAAACTGGTGAAGAACTAAGCATGTATCCTACCTTTTTAGGAAAAACTAGAACTATCCCCAGGTGATGAAAAAAATCTCTTCTTCAGAGGAGCATGCCAGCTAATAAATTGAGAAGAAAAGTAAAAATAATTTTAAAGCCACTATTTTGCCACCACCAATCAAATCACTGATTCAGGCAAGGATGGACACAAAAATCATCAGGTAAAAAGCTGGCGAGGAAACAGGGATTCATGTGGTGCCAAAGGGTGACCCAAAAATAACCTCCAAACTGAAATGGGAAAAACACCTCCTGGTTGTCACCCTCACAACCAAAGGTCAGACGCAGCATCCCGACAGCGGGACGACCTGACATCCTAGCGCACGTCTCCCGTGTGACTCGGCCTCTGGAGGTGCCTTCTGTGAAGCAGTCCTGCCAAAGGGTAACCTGAACCTGCTCCAGACTCCAGACTCAGCTTTCAGTTTCCAAGGAATACAAAGGGCCAGACTCAGAGCTGAACTAGTTAGACCACGGGAAACAACCAGGCAAATCCAGAGTGTGAAGCAAGACAACTGGTTTGGTGTCTTAAAAAAGTTAGTGTCATTGGGAAGGAAAAGGGTTGGGAGAGACTATTCTTGAATAAAAATACTAAGGAGACATAATTGTAAAAAAAATGTAATGTGTTTGAAAAAAAGAACAAAAAACTAAAAATACATATTGGGATAAAGGAAAAACCTATGTTCTAGATTCATGATGGACTAGATACTCAGGAAAATATTGCCAATTCTTAGATGTAAAAGTGGCATTCTTGGGAAATGAATGCTGGAGTATTTAGGGTAGAGTCTCATGACATCTTCCCCTTACTTTGAAATGGTAGCAATTAAGGCAACAGTTGCTGAATCTAGGTTATGGGTATATGGGTGTTTAGTTATTAGTCTTTCAACTGTTCTGCATGTTTTTCATAATCAAAAAGTTTAGAAAAAGGAATCAACAGCATACGGAGGGAATAAATTCACTGGCTGTGCTAACAGTTAAAAGTTAACATGCCTAGCCTGGCCCGTGTGTGGATTGAGCACTGTCCCATGGACTGAGAAGTCCCGGTTCAATTCCTGGTCAGGGCACGTGCCTGGGTTGCGGGCTCAATACCCAGTGGGGGACATGCAGGAGGCAGCCGATCAATGTTTCTATGACTCTCTCCCTTCCTCTCTCTCTAAAAAAAACACAATCAATTATAAAAAAAAAAAAAAAAAGTTAACATGTCTGTTTTACAGTAGAAACTGGAGGCCTACCAGCATCATCTGGGGATACTTTTTCAAAACACAAGATGTTTCCTCGCTCCTCTACTGTTAAGAACCAGTGGGTTGCCCTGGCTGGTTTGGCTCCGCGGTTAGAGCGTCGGCCTGCGGTCCTGAGAGACCCGGGTTCGGTTCCCGCTAGGGGCGCGTACCTCGGTTGCAGTTTGTCCCCGGCCCTGGTCGGTTGTGCGGGTGGCAGCCACTCGATGTGTTCCTTTCACGTCGATGTTTCTCTCTCTCTCTCTGTTCCTCTCTCTCCCTCCCACTCTACCTGAACAAAAAATGGAAAAATGTCCCCGGGTGAGGATAAAAAAAAAAAAAAAAAAAAAGAACCAGTGGGTTAGGTCCTGGCTGGTTTGGCTCAGCGGTTAGAACGCTGGCCCATGGATCAGAGTCATGGGTTCGATTATGGTCGGCGGCACATACCTCGGTTGTGGTTCGTCCCTGGCCCCGGTCGGGTCATGTGGGAGACAACCAGTTGATGTGTCTCTCTCACATCAATGTTTCTCTCTCTCTCCCTCCCTCCCACTCTATCTGATGATAAATAGAAAAATATTCTTGGGTGAGGATTAAGAAAAAAAAAAAAAAAGAACCACTGGGTTGGCTGCCCCCTAAAAAAGATGACATAAGAAAGTGAGTAATAAACATTATAATGGCCCTGGCCGGTTTGGCTCAGCGGTTAGAGCATCAGCCTGCGGTCCCGGGTTCGGTTCCCGCTAAGGGCATGTACCGCGGTTGCAGGTTGTCCCTGGCCCTGGCTGGTCGTGCGGGTGGCAGCCACTCGATGTGTCCCTTTCATGTCGATGTTTCTCTCTCTCTCTCTCTCTCTCTCTCTCTTCCTCTCTCTCCCTTCCACTCTACCTGAACAAAAAAATAGAAAAAAAAATGTCCTCGGGTGAGGATAAAAAAAAAGAACATTATAATGTAAGTGGGTTCAAGTACTTTAAGTTAGAATGCCTGGGATTACACTTAATCTTTCAAGGTTGAGGCAAAATAGGAAGCCATGTTCTCTGATGAAATGTCTTTGATTCTTCTGTCCAATTTTAACAGGCTGAATGAACCAGTAGTTTAAATAAAAATATGCTTACGTTCTTATGATAATATTGCTGAGTTCAGTGACTCTTACTAATTATCTTTAAGTCAGTTACTTAAAATGCATACTTTTTATAGTACAAGATAGCTATGATTTTATGATTATTCAGGCCTTAATGAAATCACACTGTGCTACATAATTGTGCATTAAATTCAGTAGCCGACTCCACATTCTAGAAAGAGACATACAATTTCTTTCTATTCTTTATTTACTTGAGATCGGATCACTCAAAAACTGCACATCCTCCAACCATTGTAGGATAAGGTGACAAATGGCCCCAAAGCCCCTTTCCTCCTCTGTACTATACTTCCTCTCAGCAATTCCTGCTCCTTTCAGTCCTCACACCTCCTCCTGGACCTTTTTGGCATCATCACAAACTTTCCTATGACAAGGTAAGAAAAAAATCAACTGCATTATTCAAAACGCACACAACACAGAGTAATTTTAATGTGTGATCTGCATACTTCATAAATAATCGAAATGATTTCAATATTAAGTCATGAAGTGGGAAATTTTTTAATGAAATAAATATGAGGCTACCTCCATATGCTGTGTATTTTGGGTGAGGTTGGGCTGTGTTCTTTGTATTTCACATTAGTTTTCAGTTGTCTAAAATGAACAATATTCTTTAGAGGCCTATTTTCCCCAACTTTTATTGTGAAAATGTTCAAATATACAGAAAAGTTGAAAGACTACAGTGAACATGCCAAACCCATTCATCTACATTCTACATGTTGCTATCCTTGCTTTACCTACCCACCTACTTATTCCTCTTTCCATCCATCTTATTTGTTTTGATACATCTCAAAAGTGAGCTGCTCACACTGATATTCTCATCCCACTCATCCTTGAATACTTCAGCATGCATATCATTAACCAGAGTTCAATATTTAGGATTCTTCTTGTTTTCTCCTGAGGCAAAATTTAGATACAATGAAATGCACAAATCTTAAGCATGCCATTTGATTGATTAGTTTTGACAAGTACAAACACTTTGGAACAAAAACTTCTATCAACATGTAGACTATTACCATCCCCCCAGAAATTTCCTTTATATTTTTCCAAGTCAATCTCCATCCCTATCCAGAGGCCACGACTGTTCTGATTTTTTCGTCATAGTCTGTTCTAAGATTTCATATAAATGGAATCAAACAGTATGTACTCTTTGTTGGAAGGCATCTCAGCTCAGTGTTTTTAAGATTCATCCACATTGCTACATGTATCATTTGTTTGTTCCTTTTTATTTCTGACAAGTGTCCCAGTATATAAATATACCCATTTTGGCTTTTGTTTATTTTGTTAATCCTCACCCAAGGATATTTTTTTCCATTGATTTTTAGAGAGAGTAGAAGGAAGGCAGGGGGAGAGGGAGAGAGAGAGAAAAGAGAGAAACACTGATGTGAGAGAGACACATCAACTGGTTGCCTCCTGCACCCATCCAGACCCAGGACAATGAACCTGCAACCCAGGTATAAGCCCTTGACCTAGAATCAAACCTAGACCCTTTGGAGCACAGGTTGATGCTATAACCACTGAGCACACCCAACAAGGCTATACCACAGTTTTTTTTTTTTTTATCCTCACCCGAGGACACTTTTCCATATTTTGTTCAGATAGAGTGGGAGGGAGGAAGGGAGAAACATCGATGTGAAAGGGACACATCGAGTGGCTGCCACCCGCACAACCCAACCAGGGCCCAGGACAAACTGCAACCAAGGTACGTGCCCTTAGCGGGAACCAAACCTGGGTTTCTATGGACTGCAGGCTGATGCTCTAACCACTGAGCAAAACCGGCCAGGGCTATACCACAGTTTTTAAGTCCAGTTTCCAGATGATAAAGACTTAGGCTACCCATAGTTTTTGGCTATTATAAATAAAGCTGCTATGAACATTCTTGAAATGCCCCGGCTGCTCCCGACACTCCCCCACCACCCATGACCAAATGATTACTGGTCCAAAGGACAGCTGAATTTCCCTCATGGCATATTATTCAGCATTACCTCTTTTCTTTGCAGGTACCCTTTATGATGTTATTTTGCATTACCTTTTGCAGTACCTCTTTGGGAGGTACTGATAATGTATTTTTAAGGAAACTGCTTGGACTGCAATTTAAATACATGATTTAGTAGATATAATCATGAGGGGTGGGTGGGGAGTCCTGTCCTGTAAGAAATTAAATTGCTTAAGTGCATTTTGAAACTATGTAGACTAAGGAGTGAAAATAACTTCTATTTCTTCACTCATGACTCTTCTTTCATATACAGCTGACTGACATTTATTCTTTCCAGGGAGGCTGGCTGGATCAAAGTGATTGTAGAGAGATTCTAGTGTTTTAAGTATTTGTGAAATTAATTTTGTCAATTCCTATGACTTTAAAATTATTTCTCAAACCTTCCAAAGGAGTTTCACCAAGTCCTTAGTCCTTATTCCTGCCTGCAGACCTGCAAACTGTCCCATCTGCTCCCTTCCAGCCTGGGTTGGCAGCCTCAATCTGAGGGGACTGCACCATGGTCACAAGGCCTAAGTACTCTCCATACCCAGGTTGGCAGTTTAAGAGCTAAAACACTGATTTACAACACTGGGAAAAGGCCAACATGTATTTTTGACCAATTTCTTAACATTTTAGCAATAAAAAATAAAAATTTTATTTTTAGTTATCTTATTGAAATGATCTAATAACCAATCAGGAAATGTTTTCTAAAAAGCCTTTAAATCCAGAATTAAAGGCCCAATATTACAGGTTGGATTTAGGGTCATAAATCTTCCAAATGGCCATCTCATCTTGCAGAACTCAGTATCCCAGTAACCAGAATCCAGCCCATCCAGACCCACAAGCCATCCTCCCAGCCTGCGCTCCCTTCGTGTCACAGCGAACCCAACACCAAGCCTCACCAGTTTTACTTCCTAATACCACTCAAATTCATCTACCCCTCTCCATTAGCCACAGCTTCCCACCTCTCCAGCTTCACTTCATACCAAACTTCCTTTTTGTCTAAACCACACTAGCCTTTCAGATTCTTTAAATGTTCTTCCTCTTGGCTTCGGACACATCAGATCATCGCCTAGTGCCATCCGTCCCAGGGCATTCTGACTGCCACGCGGCCGTCCCGGATCCCCCCTCACCGCCCACCCGTTTGTCGGCTCAACATTAATGCCGAACATTATAAATGCTTCCACAGTCTATCTTTCCCACACAGCATTTATCACAACTATGATTTTAATTATTTTGTCATTACTGTTTTCTTCACTAGACGGTAAGTTCTATGAAGGGGGGAAGAATCTGATTTATCCTTCACTGTACTGTGCCTGGCACAGTAAATAGATTTTCCTCCCCTCTGAGACTGAAGCCTTTCCTAACATGCACTTGGATCCGCGAATTATTTACTTATTTCAGGGCCCTTACGCCATGGAGCCAACGGTAAAGGGGGTAAAAGAAACCCCACCATCTCTTGGACCCACTGGCAGCTTCCGGGCAGACCGGCTTCCCAGCGGAGCGGGCGGGTCACGTGCACCAGAGGCGACCACGCCCACCCGGAGAGCGGCGTAGGGGCGCACGGCGTGCGCGCATAATACGTGCACGAACGTGCGCCGAAATGGCCGGGTGGAATGTCCAAGGCGCTGCACGACCGGCGCCGGTCTGGGTCCTGCGACTCCGGGATGCCGGGGCAGCAGCTTGGGCCCGAGGACGGCGTTACAGCCCGGCTCAGTCCCCTTCCTCGCGGCAGAGCCTGCAAGGCCTCTCCGCGCTCCGCCGGCAGCATGGGTGGCACTGACCTTCCAGAGACACGGCCGGACGCAGTGCCGCCTCCTCCGCAGGCATGTGCCGAGGACCACGTCCTCCCGCCGCCGGTCCCCTCAGCCCCTCAGCGCCCTTCGCCCTCGGCTTCCCATACCGGGGCGGCGAAGGTCTGGCAGAGGAGCAGTAAACGGGCTTCGCGGCGCGACACCCTCGCTCTCCGTAGTGGGCGGGGCTTCGGGCCGGTCTTTTAAAGGGAAGGTGACCTGGGAGGAGCGCTTCTGTGGCTTGGCAGATGAATCCCTCCGACCAAAATGCGGAGGGCGCGGGTGGGGGGTGGGGGGTGGGGGGTGGGGGGTGACTGCTGCTCACCTGTCTCCTGTGTCTCCAGAGGTTAGATGAAGACTCGTGTGCTGAGTTTGTGTGGCAATCAGAGCTTTCCTTCTCTAGTTACATTACATTGACCCCAACTTTGTAGACAACTTTCATGAACGTCTTTTGTATTTAATAAAATATTCCATAAACGTCCTTCTAATTAGTTTGAGCCAGGGAGCACCGCTGCCGTTTTGCAGGTGAGCAACAGACTCGGGAAGTAAAAGGCTTCCCTTGGCTCGGAGGCACCGCGCCGCCGGTCGGCCGATGTGAGCGCGGGGGCACCGGGCAGCACGGAGAAGGCCCGTGGTGCGTGGTTCGCGGACTGGAAGGCAGATGTCCCGCGGGCCAGCAGTGCTGCGAAGGGGAACTCAGCTAGCAGTCCTCACCCTCGGGGGCAGCCCAGTGCTCTGCTTTCACCTGCCTGGGTTTTGGGGCCACCCCTGGTCCCCGAGACTGCTGACTGCTGAGCCCTCCGTAGGACCATTGGTGTCAATCCCCTGCCCCTCTCATCACTTCAGTAGGAAATTCCTCGGTGGCGATCGTGACTTAGTGAAGCCACTTAACTAGGGAATTCTTTCTTTTATCATGAGAAGAAATTACATTTATTGGAGACTTGTAGTCCAGCCGAACACATTGCTTTGTTCTCATTAATTTCTTGAATCAGTTATTACTTCTTATTACAGATGAGGAAACTAGTTCAGCCTTCAATAGCTCTGAGAACAAAGACCGAGGCTAAGTGTCCACTCTGTTTCCTCAGCAAGTCCCAAGTCTGGCTCTTCAGGCTCTGAATAGGTGTTGAAGTAAAGTGGCAAACCCAGAAACTCATGTTTGTGAGACAAAGTTCAAGGTTAATATTTGCATGTTGGCTGTTTCCAAGTTAAACGAGAGTTAGAGATTCATTTTATTCTACCAAAATTATTCCCTAATACCAAGATAGGTTAGTGGCGATATGGCGACTGAGTAACGCACGTACATGCCTTGAGAAATGGTAGGTGCTCAACAATGGAAGTGCTCGCATGGTTAGTATTTACCCGTGTGTGTGCCGCCACTGTTCTGAGAGCGTCTATCAAATCATTTCATCCTCAGGACAACCTTATTACCCCATGTCACAGAGGAGGGAATTGAAGCATAAAGAAGTGACTTGCCCAAGGTCGCACTGCTAATACAATCGAGTTAAAAACCCAGGCAGCCTGGTGCCCAAGTTGCTCCTAACACTAAGTGCTCCATATGCTGATGAGTGAAGCAGTGGGGTTACACATCTGTGAAGAGAGTAGTGAAATGTGATTGAGGAGTTTAATACCTAAACTAAGGACTTGAAATTGATAGGATTAGGATTTGAATAAGTCCCCACAAGTATTCACTGGTACCTGAGCTACCTGCCAGCATCCTCTTTGAAGGGATGTGTGTCTAGATGATACATCTAGTTTTCTGGACTGCCATTGTTAGATGTCTCAAGGGGGGGGAGGGGGGACAGAAAAGGGTGGGTGTTACAGATGTGTCCTAGACAGAAGCTGTTTTATTTTTTAATCTCTTGAACTCTGCTTTGACCTCCAACTGAAATAAGACCTGACAGCTTTTGTAGTCATTGAGAGCCTTACGTTTAAGTCCTTGAATAAAATAGTAAGGCAGGCAACTGGCTCTTCAGGAGCCCTTCCTGCCTTATGGTCTCTATTGCTAAGGTGCACTTCCGGATTTGGGAAGTAATATTAACTATATTACAAATCTGTAAACTATCTGATTACATACATGCAAAAAGGGCTCTCAGAAGTGTATAGCGCTTTCCCAGTTGTTATTGTTTCTACCCATAAAAGTTATTAAAACACCAGGCTGTTTTCCTGATGCCACAGTAACTACAATTACTTGAAGAAGCTAAGCTTACACTAGTCAAAATCCTGTTTATTTTGAAGTTAAACAGATGTGGCAAAGTGTGTGCAGGTTCAAATATTCAGCATATTCATAAACAATTGTTAATGAATTATAGTTCATTTATATGCCCCCTCCATTAGATTGTAAGCTCTTATTAGAGCAGTTTTGCTAAAACAGGAATTGAAGTCTATGGTGTGTGAAATCTAATTACCACTAAACAAACTTCTATCTTGATATTAGAGAATAATTTTGGTAGGATAAAATGAATCTCTAATTCTTGTTTAACTTGGAAATGGCCAACATGCAAATATTAGCCTTGGACTCTGGGTCACAGACACATGAGTTGTTTCTGGGTTTACCACTTCACTATTTCAACAAATATTCAGTGCTTGAAGTGCCAGACTTGGGACTTGCTGAGGAAACAGAGTGGACGTGATGAGGAACTTACACTGGGTCTTTGCTCTCAGAGCTATCGAAGGCTGAACTAGTTTCCTCATCTATATGCCAACTAAATCTAGCTGAGGGCAGTTACCTTAAATGGTAGCAACTTTCTCGTTTTATAAGTGCCAGTTTAATAACAGGATCTATGCTTTCCTAAGCACATGTTTACAAAGGTGTCAAAAGGGACAGAAAACAAGGTGTAGGATAACTCATTAAAACATGCTGAAGATACTCTCAGCCCAATACTGTGTGCTTGTTCTCATAATATCTGAATGTTGGAAGCCTTCTTACAGAATCTCTACCATTTATCCTCAGGCAAAACTGCAGTTAATCTATTCCAAACGTATAAACAATCCCTACACTTAAAAAACAAAACAAACCAAAGACTCCATCAAGGTGATTTGGCTTCCACCAGTAACTCATTCAATGTTTGTAAGGACTTGGAGGATCTTTTCCTTTAAGTAACCTAGATCCATCCTGTGGCCATTTATGCTGCTTCCCCAGAAGAGCTGGGGAACATGTGGTGACCACAACTGTGTTACAACCCTTCATGTACTCAAACTATCCCTAGATTCAGAATACATTTCATCATCATCTGTAAGATTTCCCATAACATTAGACTCCTGAATAATCATTTCTCTTGTCAAAAAGTGATGACACCAATTATTAAAGCATGATGGCAGCTGTGAATGAGCAAAATAAATTTATCTAAGAAGAGAAAGAAACACTGATGTAGAGAGAAATATCAATGGGCAGCTACCTCCCACACGCCCCCTACTGAGGATTGAGCCTGTAACTTAGGCATGGGCCCTGAACAGGAATTGAACTGGCTACCCTCTGGTGCATGGGACAATGCCCAACCAACCACGCCACACAGGCCATGGTTATTTTTTGTTGTTGTCGTTTTTGAATTTTTAAAAGAGCTTTTATGTATGCTCAGTAAAATAATATTTATATATGGAAGGCCCATTTATCTTATGTGAAAAGTCTCTTGTGCAACTGAATGAAGTAGAAAATAGGTTCAAAATCTCCTTTGGAAAAACTATAGAGCCACGTGTTTCCATTTCAAAGGTATTAAGTTTTGGGGGATTCAAGTAACTTTGGTCATTTTGAAACACTTAATGAAAATAATTTCCTTTACCATCATAATACATCATGCAGAAATATAAAGAGTTAGTATAGGAAACCTTACAAAATGTACCATGTTTACTACTGTGTAAATCAAAGCAAAACAGAATCAAGTTATTAGCATTTTATATTTTAAATAAAACCCAAGAATGTTTTTAAATACCCATGAGATCTTTTCGTCACAAGGATATTTAAGGACGGCAGACTGACAGCAAATCTAATGTTAGTGATCCAACAAATTTGTACTTTCACTGTTTTCAGTCTTTGAGGGAAATGGAATTAAAGGCAAATTATTCCATTTTGGAAAGTTCCTCAAATGTAGAGTTTTACATGCTTACTGTATAGGGAAGACTTTCCACTGTATGTTGCAGTCATTGTTTGGCTGCCCACCCCCCCAAGTTGCTGCAAAGATTTTAAAGGCTGTTTTGTTGGCAGCCTCGGACGCACCCGTGACCTTACCAAAGTGGAAGTGAAAGCTCTCAGTTCTTCTTCATTCTTTTTTTTGCAACAGTAAATCTACTAATTTTACAGTCAGTTGAACAGCAATGGATTAATTTGTTTAAAGTCCATTCACAAAGGAAACCTGAACTTCAGTGGCTTGAATGCCTGAAACGGCAGCGTGATGGTTGAAGGGTAGACACTCGTACAACTTGTGCTGGAAGGAGGCAGGCCGTCCACTGTCACCTGCTCCTCTGCACAGGTGCTGACCCCTCGGTCGATGCTGGGCCTCCCGATGGGGTAGAAGGAAGGCTGGGCCTTTGTGTGCGACAGAGAAGGCTTTTCCAAGGACTGGGCCAGTTGGCTCCAGCAGCCACAGGAAGCAGAAGAAAGAAAAGGTTAAGGGCCACTGTGAGGGTCAGAATGGGTTAAATTTAGTTAACATCAGAGGTTATAGCTTTTAACAAGAGCTTCAAGAAAACTTCTTCAAAGATGCAATTTGTTTCTTCTTTGTCAACTGTTATTATTATTTTTTTTACCCTATTGATAGTGACAGCTTAACAAAGATTTTATATGCTAGTGGTTTTCATCCTTGAGAATAAAGGATCATGTTCCCAAAAGATGTGCAGGTGGAGGACTTTATAAAGCTCCCATGATTTTTAAATTGGGAGCTTTAAAATAGACTCCATGCTTGGCTAAGTCAAAAATAATCTGTAAGGGATGCTGAAAAAATTCCCATGCTGAGGCTCAAATTTCTAGAAGCTTCTTTGTGTAGTTCAATTTCAACCGTTCTAGCACAGTTTTCTCATTCATTATTCAAAGTCACCAAAGAGGCCTCCTCTTAAGCTTCCATACATGCATTTCTTTACATTTAGAGCATAACACTGGGCAGAACCAGTTGTTTA